GCTGGCCCGGGCCCCCAGCCGCTGACCCTGGAAACAGGGTGCCTGGCCCGGCGCCCGGCCTCCGAGGCTGCTTTGACGCCTTTAGGGGAGTCACCCGGCGCCCCCAGGGGGAGAGGGCGGGGCCCGCCGAGCCCCAGGTGCGGGGGGCACCGGCACGGGAAACCCCTCTGAGCGCAGGCGGGGCGCTCCTCCCCTTGGGGCCCGGGCTGGTGCCCACAGGGGCAGTCTTGGTTTGCTGGAGGGCACCGTGACCCGGGGCTGCATTTGCTCTCACTTAGCAGAAAAATATGCTATAAATTTGCCGTTACAACAAAGTCAACATGTCTTTTTTATTAAGACTGCCACAGAGCCAATTATTTGTGTTTCTGTCACGGCCACGTTGCTGCGCTGCAGAACAGACGGCGCTCCCTGGCCGGGAAGGACGCGTGGGGCTCAGTGGAAGGAGGCGCTGAAATGGAACATTCCAGGGGGGAGAAAGCCGGGCGCAGCCCGGCACGCGCCGGAACCCCGCCCAGTGCCACCCACTGCAGTCTGGGAGGGCCGGTGGGGGCGGGGGGCCGTGGGGCAGGGGCATGACTTTCCAGGCGGCGGGCCAAGGTGATCCCTCAGAAGCCTGAGGCGGGGATGGGCACGCCCTGCAGTCTGGGAGGGCCGGTGGGGGCGGGGGCCGTGGGGCAGGGGCAGGTCCGCGGATGGGCACGACCCCGGTCCGGCCACCGAGGCACCGCGGTTGCGTGGCCCCGCAGCGAGCAGGCACCACCCCGTGGTCAGGGCACCACGGCACACCCTCCCCGGCCGTCCTGCAGGGAGCTGGGGGGCCAGAAGCGGGGGCCCTGGCCCTTGCTCCGCGGTGCTGACCCCCGCCCTCCTGCCTGCCCCCCGCGAAGCAGGGCCCCGCCTCCTCACCTGCGTCCAGACACCCCAGGACAGGGATGGGGCCTTGCCGGCGGGACCCAGGGGCGCCGAGAATCGCCCTTCCGGGGAGCCGGCCCCCGCTCCCTCAGGCACCCTGGGCTGCTCCCGGTGAACGCGCCTGGGCGGGCGGAGGGTGCTGGGCAGGGGCCTCCAGGGCCCACCCAGGGGTCCGGCCCCAGGCGTCGTGGCCA